CCACCCCGGGCACCCACCGACCTTCTCCGCAGTGCGCGGTCGGCTGGGCCGGCAACGGACTCCTCTGCGGCCGAGACACGGACCTGGACGGCTTCCCGGACGAGAAGCTGCGCTGCCCTGAGCGGCAGTGCCGTAAGGTGGGCGGGGGGCGTGGCTCGAGGGGGCGTGGTTCGTAATGCGGGCGTGGCCTGGTCGTGCGAGGGCTGCGTTGCCACGCCCTTGTGCCTCCCGTTCTCCCCCCAGGACAACTGCGTTACAGTGCCCAACTCAGGGCAGGAGGACGTGGACCGCGATGGCATAGGAGACGCCTGCGACCCGGATGCAGATGGGGACGGGGTCCCCAATGAGGAGGTGAGGCCGGGGGAGGGCTCTGGGTGAGACGGGGCGTGGCTGATGGGAGCCAGGGCTTCCCGCGCAGGAGGCCGGACCCCTTTCCCTAACCAGCGCTGTGCCCCAGGACAACTGTCCTTTGGTGCGGAACCCGGACCAGCGCAATACGGACAAAGACAAGTGGGGCGATGCCTGTGACAACTGCCGGTCCCAGATGAATGACGACCAGAAGGACGCAGACCGAGACGGTCGGGGGGACGCCTGTGACGACGACATCGACGGCGACCGTGAGTGCGGCCGGGGGCGGCTCAGCCGGATGTGGAACCCTGACAGAAACACCGAGCTGGTCCCTGCGGGGCAGGGCGGGGAGCGCTAGGGCCGTTTGGAGGAGAGGGCGGTCTCTTGTGAAAGTCTGCAGGCCCCGGGTACCCCACTGCTACCAATGGGGACTTGGGAGGGTGTCACAGGGTACCCAGTTTGGCTGCACAGGGAGAGGACCGTCTGTCCATTGAGCCCCTGGAGGCTGGGCTGTCCCCAGGCCTGGCCCCTTTCTGACCTTGGGGCCCTGTCTCTTCCCCCTGACTCCCCAGGGATCCGAAACGTGGTGGATAACTGTCCCAGGGTCCCCAACGCAGACCAGAAGGACAGCGATGGTGATGGCGTAGGGGACGCTTGTGACAACTGCCCCCAGAAGGACAACCCTGACCAGGTGAGGAGGTCCGCCCCGCCCTGGGCTGGGTTACGGACCCGTCCCAGGGTGCAGTACCCCTGCCCCAGGGCCTCGCAAATCCGACGCCCTAGGGGTCCTCGGCGTTGGGAGGGCCTTGCTTCGGAGCTGGAGGTGGGGTGAACCCCTCTGCCCCATCTGACTGTGGTCCCTGGTCGGCCCTCACCCCAGCGGGACGTGGACCACGACTTCGTGGGAGATGCTTGCGACAGCGACCAGGACCAGTAAGAGCCCTCGGGGCGGGCTTCTGGGCAGCCCTGGTGAGTCCTGCGGGGTCTCACCGTCGCTGTCCCCGCCACTCCAGGGACGGGGACGGGCACCAGGACTCTCGGGACAACTGCCCCACAGTGCCCAACAGTGCCCAGGTGGACTCAGACCGTGATGGCCAGGGCGATGCCTGCGATGACGATGACGACAACGACGGGGTCCCCGACAGTCGGGACAACTGCCGCCTGGTGCCCAACAGAGGCCAGGAGGACGCGGACAGTAAGCCAGGGCCGGCCAGCCCCGCTGTGGGGAGGCAGTGTCTGGCGGGGCCCAGCGCAGGTGCTGAGCAAGGCGGAGGGCGTGGCAGGCATCGGCTGTCTCAGCGGGGTGTGGGTGGCCAGGGCGGGGTGGAGACCTGAGGGGGGCCTGGAACCGCGCGCACTGGGGGGGTCCTCTCGTCCGCTCTCAGGGGACGGCGTGGGTGACAAGTGCCAGGGTGACTTCGACGCCGACAAGGTGGTAGACCAGATTGACGTGTGTCCGGAGAACGCCGAGGTCACTCTCACCGACTTCCGGGCCTTCCAGACGGTAGTGCTGGACCCCGAGGGTGACGCGCAGATTGACCCCAACTGGGTGGTGCTCAATCAGGTAGGGGCCGGGCCCAGGTCCGGGTTGGGGCAGCACAGGACTAGCTGGGGTCAGGAACAGTAGGGGCCCCGCGGGCGACCTGGAGACCTTCTTCCTTGTCTTCCTTAGGGAATGGAGATCGTGCAGACAATGAACAGCGACCCCGGACTGGCCGTGGGTGAGCCCAGGGGGCGGGGCCGTAAGGGGGAGGGAGGGGCCTCAGGAAGGGCGGGATGGGTGGAGCCTGGTGGGCTCTGGGGCGTGGTCAACGGCAGGTGGGCGTGGCCTGGCTCCAGAATGGATTTGTAAGGGGACGCGGGATGGACGCCAGAGGGCGGGACCCAGTCCATACTCCGTCTGTACAGGCTACACGGCCTTCAACGGCGTGGATTTCGAGGGCACGTTCCACGTGAACACAGCCACGGATGATGACTACGCAGGCTTCATCTTTGGCTACCAGGACAGCTCGAGCTTCTACGTGGTCATGTGGAAGCAGATGGAGCAGACGTACTGGCAGGCCAGTCCGTTCCGCGCTGTGGCCGAGCCTGGCATCCAGCTCAAGGTCCCACCTGCCACCCGCAAAGCCCGTGTCGCCCCCTCTCCAGTGTCGCTGTACTAACCTCAGAGCTGTCTCCCCCGGGGGGTGCCCAGCTCCTAATCTCCCCATTCCTCCCTCAAGCCTTCAAATACCCCAAGGCCCCCAAGCTTCCTTTGGGCCCCCTAAAGCTTCTCACAGAGCCCTGTTTTCCCTGGGGCTTCAAATCGTCCTCCTGCAAACTCCCGATCCTCCCCACCTACTAACCTGACCCACAAACTCTGGGGCCAGGAAGGCCTCTCAAGGTTGTCCCTCCCCATCCCAGGGCCCCACAGGGTTCTGGGGCTCTGGCACCCCCACCCCCCGCCGTGAGGTCTCTGACCCCTCTCCCTGTACGGCAGGCCGTGAAGTCCTCCACAGGCCCTGGGGAGCAGCTGCGGAACGCACTATGGCACACAGGGGACACGGCGTCACAGGTGCGGCTGCTGTGGAAGGACCCACGCAACGTGGGCTGGAAGGACAAGACATCCTACCGCTGGTTTCTGCAGCACCGGCCCCAAGTGGGCTACATCAGGTGGGGATGGGGGTGGTGTCCCCTGCTCTTCCCCAGCTCCAGGGGAAGGGGGATTCCGGAGCCTTGGTCTGTAAATCAAATGATTCGAAGCCCGATGTCAGTGTAAACCTGTGATCCCAGCACTCCAGGAGGCTGAGGCAAGAGGATTCCAAGTTTAAGCACAACTTAGTGACTTAGTGAGACCCTGTCTAGAAGCAGGGACTGGGGATGGAGCTGAGTATGGCAGCAGCCTGGGGTTCAGTCCCCAGCACCAAAAATCAAACCACACAAAAACCTGTCTGGGAGCCGGGGATTTAGCTCAGTGGTTCTGCTGCATGCCTCGCAAGCACAAGGGCCCAAGTTCGATCCCCGGTACCAAAAAAAACCCCACAAACAAAAAATCCCAGCCTGGCCCTGGGCATGACTGTGTGCTGAAGATGACCCGGCACCCAGTGGGCCTTCAAGAATGTGATCCCTGTTCCATAATGCTTAGCACCTGCTGTATGCAGGGCCCCGAGAGGAAAGGGGCAGCTTCTGTGGAGGCTGAGAGCGGAGGGGCTGGGTGCAGGACCCTGCCCTGCCTCAGTGTCCCCCGCCCACAGGGTGCGGTTCTATGAGGGCCCAGAGCTGGTGGCTGACAGCAATGTGGTTCTGGACACAACCATGAGGGGCGGCCGCCTGGGAGTCTTCTGCTTCTCACAGGAGAACATAATCTGGGCCAACCTGCGCTACCGCTGCAATGGTAGGCAGCATTCACGGATGGGTGGGGATGTCCCCGGCCCACGGGCCCTCACACAACCACCCTCTTCCCCCAGACACCGTCCCCGAGGACTACGAGGCCCAGCGGCTGCAGCGGGCCTAGGAGCCGGGCTGAGACCCGCCGCATGGCCGAGGCTGCCCACTGCCACGGCCTGGGGTTCAGCGGGCAGGGGGGGAAGCAATAAAGTGCTTGTGTCGGGGACACTGCTGTGTTGCGCAGCTGCAGGGGACACAGACGCTGCTCCTCCCGCCGCCTGTCCACCCCAGGGGTAAAGATCCCTCCGGGCTCCGTGTCAGGAGCGTGGACACTCGGGCCTGTGTCTGTGCCTGTGTGTGGCCACTAGGGAACCACCTCGCCATGCCTGTAGCTTGCACCTGAGGCAGGGAGGAAGGAAGGGGAAGAGGCAGAGACGAAAACATTGGATTTTTATTACATTTCGTTACAAAGGATGCAAAGGTACAAAGACAAAAGCGTCCACGCCAGAGGACAGGGCAGGGGCGGCCAAGAGTGCCCTGAGCTGCCCGCCACCGGACTGCTGGAGCCCGAGGCACCGCAGCGGTGGGTGCATGCTGAGGCCACAGCCAGTGCAGCAGGGGCACTCGGGGCAGGGCCCGGCAGACGTGCGCGATGCATATATGGAGGACCGACCACCCAGAGCCTGGAGGCTTCCTCCTGGGGCACGTGGGGCCTGCGTCCCTGCTCGGCTACATCCCAAGTTCCAGATGGGCACTGCCTCAGCGCCGGCGGAGGGCAGGAGGGACACAGGGCTGTCTGGAGCGGGCAGCACCCCAAGGCCTGCCCGTCTCCACCCTGCCCAGGGCTAAATATGACAGGAGAAAACTAAGGCTCAGGTCCATGGGGCTCACTCCTGACCCCGCTGCCCTTGGGAGCACCCCAGCACCCAACCTGGGGTGCAGGTCACCCCATTCCTGGCCCCAGAGGAGGAGGTCTGACAGAGTGACACTGTGCGGGCCCTGAGAGGGTGCAGCCTCTGTCTGACCAGGACCCCTGCAGGCCACACGGAAGCTGAGGGTATGGCTGGCTGAGGCCTTGGCGACAGGCAGACCAAGTGACATGCCAGGAGACACCTGCAGGAAGTGAGGTCCAGGGCCAAGGAGCTCTCTCAGGTGTTCGGAAAGGTCCCTCACCTGGAGTCCCACTACGGGGATGACAGACTCAGTTCCGGGCACCTGGGTACCACTGACGGGGGTGCCCCAGCCTCTGGCAGCAGTGCCCTGAGGACCAGGGAGAGTGCAGGGCCCCATCCTACCGGGCCTCCTCACACCCAGCCTAGGGAGCCTGGCCCAGGGCAGGACTTCAGAATTTATCAGCCTGAGCCCACAGAGGTCAGGAGGACGGAGGGAGCCGAGTCCCCCTAGAGACTGGCAGCGACATGGGGTGGCCGCTCCTGTGCCCGTGACCCACAGTCACCCACGGCCTTCTGCCCTGCTCCTGTCTCCTGTGACAGGGCCACAGCCAGCTTCTACAAACGATCCCACTGACACCCTGGCCCTGCAGGAAGACAGTGAGCCGTCCTGGCCCAGTGACACAGGGGGGCCC